TTGATTCATTAAAAAGTAAGACACTGACTTTTTCTATTTGGGAGAAAATAAGACCATAAATAATAAGACCATTCTTGAAATAAGACCATAAAAAATAAAATTAGTGACAAATACTCCTAACTCCTTCCTGGCTGTTTTCTTGAAATATCATCTTCCAAACTCTGACATGTCGATCGATCTAAGGCGGCGGTTCAGGAGGGGGCGGACCGCCGTTGTGTATTCTGCCTTGCTTATCCCTTCATCGCTCCCCGTCTGTTCATCACTCGTGCCGTGGGCCGGAACCAAATTGTCAACCCCTGAGCCGTGGCTAGATTGTCAATACCCATGCAATTCCGATTCAACACATGCATGCCATTGTGAGAAGAAACAAAACACACTTCCGCCAGATCAATTTAAAACAAAAGCTAGTAGAAAACCTCTGTCGGGCCAATCCAAAACGACCGCCGCATTAATCCAACAAAAAACTGGAAGAAATCTATGTCGAACCAAGGCAAAAAGCAGCCTTCGAAAAAAAAAACCTAGGATATACCTAGACAACGACTACCTTTCTCCCTTTGATGTCGGTTTTATTGCTCAGTTAAAACTTTCTTAAAAAACAGAAAACATAAAGGATGCTAGCAAGCCAGGAGAAAGTAGAAGCTATATACACGTTTGGGATCCCCAACTTAAAAAAAAATCTTTTTTTAAAATTGGTATAACTTTTTATATTTATAATTTGATTTTTACAAAAAAAGTATCAATTTTTACAATATATTATTATCATTCGTATGACACCAATATTGCATATGTAAAAATAAAAAGAAATTTGAATATACGATAGATGGAGGTTTTTAGGCTCAAAAGTTTTTTTTAAATAGATCAAAACTTTAAAATTAAGATCTCATGATTGTATAGCGTAATTTCATGTTGTAATCGGTGAACATTTTATTTATTGGTTGAAAGTGTCAACAAAGGCACCATTAAGTTCGAAGACACATATTTACAAAACAACAACTCAAATTGAATCAACAAAACAACTCAATCAAAACTTTCTTAAAAATCACAAAAAACATAAAAGATTCTAGCAAGCCAGGAGAAAGTAGAAGCTACATGTTTCGGACTCTCAACTTAAAAAAAATAACTTTTTTTAAACTGCCATAACTTTTTATATTTGTAATTTGATTTTTACAAAAAATGTATCAAAATATACAATTTATTATTATCTTTTGTATGACATCAATATTGCGTATGAAAAACTTAAAAAAAAAAATGAATATACAGAAGTTTTTAGGCTCAAAACTTTTTAAAAATAGATTCAAACTTGAAATTAAGATCTCATGATAATATAGCATAATTTCGTGTTGCAATTAGGGGACATTTCATTTATTGACTGAAAGTGTCAATAAAGGCACATTAAGTTCTAAAACATTTAATTAAAGAATTTTATCAATCCGGGACCTGAAAGATCGACGAATTATCAACTCGGGATCTGAAAGATGAAATATATATAGGTATAAGGCGCGAAGGATAGAAACTATCAATCTAGGGCCCGAATGATTGAAAACTATCAATAAGGACCTAAGTTGTTATGATTTTTTTCTTTTTAAAATTCAAATAGTATTTAGTTTTATTAAATTAATAAACTTTTGTGAAGAAAAATTCATCAAATATTAGGGTCCTGTACTGATACACTTCATCTTTCAAGTTAGGTCCTAGATTGATAGTTTTTCATTCGGGTCATGTACTAATACATTTCATCTTTCAAGTCTCGAATTGATTATTCGTCTATCCTTCAGGTCCCGGATTGATAAAAAAATAAAAACAACAACTCAAATTAAATCAACAAAACAACTCAGTTAAAACTTTCTCAAAAATCAAAGAACATAAAGGATGGTAACAAGCCAGGAGAAAGTAGAAGCTACATGTTTGGGGCCCCCAACTTTTAAAAAAATGAAATTGCTATAACTTTTTATATGTATAATTTGATTTTTACAAAAAACAATGTATCAAAATATACAATTTATTATTATCTTCCGTAACACACCAATATTACATATATAATATTGGTGAAGGCATTTTATTTATTGCTTGAAAGTGTCAATATAAAACACTTGTGATCCACTTAATTTTAGAACTTGGATCTACTTAAAAAAATGAGCATAAAAACTTCAATCAACCGTATATTAAGATTAAGTTTTATTTTTATATATGCAATATCGGTGTTATACGAAAGATAATTATAATTTATAAATTTTGATACAATTTTTTTGTAAAATACGGATTATAAATAAAATAAATTAAAGCAATTTAAAAAAGATAATTTTTTTAGCATCCATTGTGTTTTCTCCCTTTTCCCGACTTGCTAGCGTCCTTTGTGTTTTTTAATTTTTAAGAGATAAAGTCGTTAACTGAGCATTTTTGTTGATTCGATTTGAGTTATTTTTAAATAAATGTTTTAATATTTAATGTCCTTTATTGACACTTTGAACAATAAATAAAATGTCTCCTAATTGCAGAATGTTCAAAATTATTTTTATTTATACATATACAATATTGGTATCATATGAATGCTAAAAAACAATCATGAATTTTAATATATATATTTTCTTATAAAAATCGGATTACAAATAAAAAATTTATATAAATCCTTTCACTTACGTGTCGTTGTCAAGAAAATCTAAAACCTCAAAGTCTTAAACGGAACAAAATTGAAAATCCACAAGTAGAACTATTAACAAAATTTAATATTCGAATTAGATCAACAATATATATATATACTCACCACAAACGAAATCAAATATCAACACATCCTTATTATACTACAAATCAACTAAGGCCATTGCAGTTTTGGTAAATTACAGATCATTTGTCCATGGAATAACGATCGATGACCGCCTGACGTAAAATCCAATAGTCGATACAATCACCTCCATTAAATATTTACAGAATCCCTTTAAATAAGGGTGTGAAGATTCTAATTTGATTTCAGTATGTATAAGAATGTGTAAGTGAAATGAAAATTTTGAAACTAAAGTGGAAAGGAAATAAAAAGATACTCAATATATAAGATGGAAGCGTTGTAGTCAGTAGAGTGAACGAAAAGAATTAGTACTCTATAATGATGTACAAGGTAAAATGGGAGGACGACATATATAATCGTATGACTAGCTTAGGAAAAAAATAACTATTTAAAAATTATTTAATTCAATCTAATAACTGCAAGTACTAAACGAAAATGAAAGTAGAATATATGAGAATAAAAAATCTTTTAAGTACCCCCAAATCATTTCAATAAAATTGTTTTTTAATAACTTTGAAATCATTCCTAAATTTGGGGAAAAGAGTGGAACGTCATAAAATGAAAGCGGGAAAAATTAAAATAGAAAGACCGCATGTGTTAAAATTTTCTAAATACACATTTATTTTAATGTTATCTCAAATTTATGTTCACCTTTAATATCCAATTAAGAGTATTTCCAATTGGAATTATTTTTTTGATCTCATTTATGAAAGCAAAAGGTATTTATTACTTTAGTGTATATATTAGGGGAAAATAATTTAAATATCTCAAACTTCACCATGATCATATATTTGTTCACAATCATATCCTAACACAAAGTGTTGTTTAAGAGCTAGATAAATAAGCTAAACTGTGTGTTGGTAGAAAATATGTTGAGTAGAAAATTCGGCAGCAATTCAGTATGATAAAAGTGACGTGCCCAATACAAGGGGGGGAGCGGCCTATTTATAGGCGCTTACAAGAGGCTTGTCTAAAGTTAATGGGCTTGGCCCAGTTAAACAACTAAAACAAGAAGCTTGATCTAAGGTCCATGGGTCGGTCGGCCCAAGAGCTAAACAAATCAATCCAAGGACCATATTCTCTAGCCGGACCGTGTGCTGGGCCTGGTTCACGCCCGAGCCCATGCATATCGGGTCGATAGTATTGGACCCGGCCCATTATCCCAACACGAGTCCCCCACTCCCTTAGTCGAGTAGCAGACTCGGCTAGAAGGGAGTAGTTGAGCAGCTGCCCAAAGGTCGGTTCGGCTATTGGATTATCTGGCTAGCCGCACTTTTGTTATAGCAGCCCGGGGGGGCTCGTCAATGTAATCGTTGGCCCGGAGGGGGCTATTTTTCGCGGGTCTTGATCGGCCCCCTTGCTTGCTCCCCACTGCTTGCGAAAGGACGGGGGTCTCGCAATGTTTCCCATCAGTCTCAATAATTTGGGCCTGAAATTCCAAAGTGTGGGCCTTGTTTTCTGTAGCTGTATATTTGACCTCGCCACGTATATTTCGATCCGACCAGTAAAGAATTAGCCCAATTGGTATGCCGCTAATTTGGTCAACTCGCACGTCAAAGAAACCCCCGACGGGCTTCCTAAAATAGCCCGGAGCTATTCTAATTAATAATTTCTTTCCTTTTTTTTTTCTTTTAAATTCCTTGCGTCCAAGCGTGGCCCAGCCCTAACACCATCGATCATCCGCACGCGCTTCAGCCTTCCAGGTCCCCCCAAGCTTCAGCCGCTCCAGCCGCAGCCATGACGTCGCCGCAGCACTCCATCCCCAGCCGACGAAGGAAACGCAGCGGCTCCCCTTCTCCGTCGCGCCGGAGGGAGGGTCATCCACGACGTCGTTCGCCGTCGCAAACGCGAAGCCCAGGCGGTCGGAAAAAGCCCAGTGATTCACGGTCATTATCTCCTCCTGTTCCAGGCCTTCGCACGGGTTCTCAACGCAGTCCGCGACACGAAGGTCATCATGGTGCCGTCTCCACCCGCGAACGTCGTTCCTCTGCCAAACATTCCCAGCAACATCCGGCGGGTCAGGTATTGTCTGCGCGAGCCCCACCTGGCGAGGTGGACGTAATGTCACGACCTGGGAATTCGGTTGCACGAGCCCGTCGTGGCGAGACGGCCGTACGGTCGTCACCTGGATGCGTGGCCGTGCAAACCCAAACCAGCGATGTGAACATTCGGTCATCACCAAGCGGCTCGACCGTACGATCCCGATCCGACGAGGTGGGGAAAAAGTCCATGCATGGAGACCCGACTAAACGGACTCAAGCCAGCGAGGTGAATGCAATGTCTCAACCCGAATCCTCGACATCAGGGAAAAATCAAGGAGCCTCCGAAAATCTTACGATGCATGAAACAACTACCACCTCATTGCGGCCGGACAGACCCACTACGCGGATCGTGATCGTTAAAGGACATCTCCGGCCTGCTCCGGGGGGCCCACATGACAAGCCCGTGCTATCCTCTAACAATGTTGCCCCTGTAGTGGACGTTGCCTCTCAATCGGATAGCTCATCCAAATCAGACGGCGGATCGGATAGCGTCGAAGATCCTAACGCCTGGAAAGATCGTTTGCGTTCCACCAGTACAGAGGCAGATTTGAAGTTGGCAAAAAGTATGGTCGGCAGCGATTGCACCCTCATGTTGCCAGATCCCGAGAGTAGCCTCACTAGTCCCCCTCCGAAATCGTTCTTCGGGGTTCACATTACGTCCATCGCGCGGGGCATGCGGGTGCCTTTGTGTCCATTCTTGGTGGCACTCCTTGCCCATATTGGGATATCGCCATGCCAGATGACCCCAACCGCACATATGTTTACAGCTGCTTTTGTCGCTCGCTGTAATGGGGTTGGTATCCGACCATCCATACCGTTGTTCCGTGCATGCTTTAGGTGGAACCGTCCTAACAGTAAGACAGATGACGGTGGGTTCGTGTCACTTTGCCAATCACCGCATCGTAAGCTCTTTGATCAGTACCCAGAATCACCTAGGAAGTGGTCGAATAAATGGGTATGGGCGTCCGCTCCCCGCTCGCTTCCCGTCACGTCTACCTGGGGTAATTCAATGCGCGAGTATAAGCCTGTCTCTCTCACCCCCGACCTTGAGGAGAAGGTCGAGACCTTGCTCCAAGGGGGCCCTTTCCCGGTAAACTCGTATATAGGTAAAAATCTTCTGCCTCCGCGGGTCACAGATACCACATAAAATCATCCCTTAATTTGGTGATATTTTCTGGTGTAACAGGCAACAGAGACGAAGCTGCCGCCCCCAAGGTGCCATCGGGGACCATGCTTCCACCTTCTGCGCCTGGTGCGGGTTCATGTTCGCTCGATCCTGGGGATAAGCGCGGGGCCTCCCCGTCCCGTGAAGAGCAGGTTGCCATGGACGAAGAAGGTGCGAACTCCCTTTTAATTCAAGAGGAGAAAACCCCGGCTGAAATGACTTCATCACCCTCTTGTTTATTTTTTGCAGGTATGTTAAGCAGGGTTGCCGTGCCCCCTCCCTTGGCTACAATGCAGGGTGTCGCCCCCCAGTCCGTGATGCCCTGTGCAAGCAAGGGCGTGTCTGATGCCACCATGCCCGAGGTCGACGCCGGGGTGAAGATCGGGGTTTCCCCACGTCATGAAGAACAAGTTCGCAAGAAGAAGAAAGGTGTGAATCCTCCTCTTTGATTCGGGAACGGAGAAATAGTTCAACCGGCACTATTCCATTTTACCCTATTCATTTTCTTGCAGAGGTTGCGGGTATGCGGGGCAGGCTCGCCGCCCTGGCCGCAGAGGAGGACGCCAAGTTCCGGCCTTCGAGGACCGAGGTCATTCCCTTCATCGCGGGGAAACAATGCGGGGTCCCTCCCGTCAACCATCCAGCTTCTACCCTCGGTGTTTCATCGATCTTGGATATGGCGCGCTCCATCGAATCTCACAGCACGGTAGGTCGTGTTATTATCATTATTATTGTTGTTGTTATAATACTCACTAACTCCATGTTTCCTGCAGGGGCTGATGGACATAGCAACCGCGCTTCAAACAATAGGTCGCCATCGCGAGGAGCTCCGGCATCAGGTTGACGAGGCTCACCGCCACTCGGTTGCCGTTCAGCGTCGGGCGGACGAAGCAGCAGCCGCTCTGTCCGAGCTCCAGTCAAAATATGACTTGCTACAATCAAAGTACGATCGACTGGAGGCGTTGTTCACGGATGCGGGGCGTCAGGCAGTTGCGGCATTCCAAACATCCCCAGAATTTTTTGAGATCATCACTTCGAGGCTGGAGGCTCACCGCTCGGAGCAGGTCCAAGCATGGTTGAAAACTGATGAGGGTCAGCTTTGGCGGGATAAGGAAACTCTCATGTCCTTCAGGTGCGGCCGATACGACATGCAGACCATGTTGTACGATAGGCTGGCAGAGTTTTATCCAGACTTCGATCCCGGGAAGTTTGGTTTGCCCGAAATCATGCCAGATCCTGACGGGGCCGACGAGCAAGCGAATGGTTTGTCCCTTTTGCACCTGGATATTCCAGAGGACCTGGAGGATTCGTCACACGCCTTTGATTTTGTGACCGTCCTAGATAGTGTTCCCGACAATCTGCCTGATCCCTAGATCGTAGATTGTGGCCTCTCCTTGTTGTTCTTTATTCATTTACTTGTTTATTTTCATTCCGCACTTCTGTCTGGATTCACAAATATATAGCCTGATTGGTAGGCCGTTCACAGATTGCTTTGTCACATAATCTCATATTTGCACTTTTGTTCATCTTCCTTCCTCATGTAATCATCTTTAATCCGAGACCACCTGGGAAATTAATCGGGGATCTAGCTCCCCGCCTAAGCCATGAGGGGCGGAAAGCCGGCAGGGCCAACCTTGACCGCGCCCTGCTTGGAAAAGCGGGCTGACCCGCACACCGTCGGTCTAAGACCAACTGGCGAGCAAGCCGTTTGGCGGGTGGCCAGACAATGGATGTACGGGAAGGGCTCAAAGCTCAACACCCCGCGCACCTTCGACCCGTAGGCCAGTCTTACACCTTGACTTGTATAGCTAATTTCTTACTTAGGAGAAATTCAATCATCCCTTTCTGAAAATCGAGCTAAAGTCGGCCAAACGTAAGGGCAAGGCCCTATATGGTCAGACTAGAACGGACCCGCACCGTTGACTGTATCGAGCGAGTATGCGGGCTGCTAGGCCTAGCAACGTTAGACGATAGACGTACGAGAGGGGCGCGGAGCACGACCTCTCGCATATCTTCGGCCCGGGGACCAGGTCATATCGTTGCCGCATCCTCGAACAGATCAAACGAGAGTGCGAGCTGTTTAGACAGCAACGCCAGACAACGTATGCGCGAGAGGGGCTCGGAGCACATTTCTCGCACACCTTTTCGACCCGGAGGTCGGTCTTGCGGTCGCCCTGACCGAGCGGCTAATTCCGGACTTGAAGAATAGTTTGGTCATCTCCTTGCCCGAGGATCGAGCCGTGGTCGACTAAACACCGAGAGCAGAACATGAGTTTTATTATCATTATTATTATTTTCCTTTTTTTTTTTTTTTTTTTTTTTTTTTGCTCTGCCCGTTTGTTCCCAAGTGAGGTCGGACCTCATATAGTTCAATATTGAAAGAAGAAAGAAATGAATTTATTAGAAATAATCGAAATGATCAATGCTAGAAATAATGGAAATGATCAATTATTACAAATCACTACTGATAGAACTTAAGTAAATGCTCTGCGTTCCATACGCGGTCGATAAGCTTTCCCGTCGTAGTCTTTAACTTGTAAGTTCCTGGCCCAACCACGGCTTCAACAACATAGGGTCCTTCCCACTTAATGGCGAGCTTTCCCCCTTCTGTCGGTTTGCTTGCCTTCCTTCGTCTCAGCACATAGTCGCCTACGTCGAAACTTCGCGGTGCTGCCCTGCTGTCCTGGTACGCTTTTACTTGCCTGCGATAATTTTCCGCTTTGATGAACGCCCGGTCTCTTCTTTCTTCTATGAGGTGGAGTTCGGCTCTGAGCCTCTCCTCATTGTCAACTGGCTCGAACTCTTCCACCCGTCGGCTGGGAATCACTGCCTCGAAGGGTGCCCTTGCTTCGAAGCCATAGCACAGAGCGAAAGGAGTCTCGCCCGTCGCCTTCCTGGGGGTGGTCCGGAACGTCCAGAGTATGTTACTTAGCTCTTCCACCCACGCCGTTCCAAGGGCTTCCAACTTCTTTTGGAGCCCGTCTACGATCGTGCGATTGGTATTCTCCACCTGCCCGTTTGCCTGGGGATAGCAAACAGATACTCGACTTGACTCCACGCCCCACTCGGCGCAGAACTGCCTAAACGGTTCACAGTCGAATTGCCTTCCATTGTCGGAAATAATTTGCAAAGGGACCCCAAATCGGCAAAAGATATTCTTCCATATAAACTTCTTGCACTGCAGATGCGTTATGCTGGCGAGCGGCTCCGCTTCCACCCACTTCGTGAAGTAGTCCACGGCCACGATGACAAACTTCCTATTCCCCGCTCCGTTCGGTAAGGGACCAACCAAGTCTATGCCCCACCGGGTAAATGGCAGAGCGGTGCTAATAGGCGTGTACATAGTTGCCGGCCTTCCGGGGCTCTTCTGAAACTTCTGGCAGGTGTTGCACTTCCTTGCATAATCAGCGCAATCCTTCATGATTGTGGGCCAAAAGTATCCCTGGAGGACCACTTTCCTGGCCAAGGTGCAAGCTCCCTGGTGGGCCGAACATACCCCACCATGTAACTCCGCGACGATCATGTTTGCTTCATGTGGTCGCAGGCACTTCAACAATGCTCCGTTGTAAGATCGCTTGTATAGCTTACCGTCCAGGACGACATAGCTCGGGGCCCGTCGCCGGACGAGCTTCGCTTCCTCCTCTTGGTCGGGTAACGTACCATCGGCTATGTAATGTAGCAAATCGTCCACCCAACTCCAAGCTACTGGTTGCAGAGGAAGCACAGTTACCGAGGGTGAGGCTGCTATGCTCGATGTCGTCACCTCCTCGACCCGAGCAATCTTGGATATGTGCTCGGGTAGCCCCTGGGATAGACGGGATAGGAGGTCAGCATCCCCATTCTGGCTCCGCGGAATACAGATCAGCTCTGCTTGTTCGAACAACCCGAGTAATTCCCGGACGGCATCCCTGTACTTTGCCATCCTTTCCTCCTTTGCCTCGAAATCGCCTTTCACTTGAGATACGACCAACCGGGAGTCGCACTTCACTGTTATCCACTCTGCCCGCATGGCCGCAGCCAGTCGCAGCCCCGATAGTAGGGCCTCATACTCAACCTCATTATTCGAGACTTTGAATAGGTAGCGGTGGGCGTAGTACGCCCGGAATCCCTCAGGTGAGGTGAGGACGATCCCACCCCCGCAGCCTTTTGTCCCGGACGATCCATCGGTCGCCAAGGTCCACCAGTGTTCTTCACTATCTCTCTGCCTTTCGGTAACCTCCCTTGCCGTGCACTCTACGATGAAGTCCGCAAGCGCCTGCCCCTTGATGGACGATCGAGGCTGAAAATCCACCTCATACTGGTTGAGAAGCATCGACCACTTCACAACCCGTGTCGTCCCGGGGGTTCTCAGAGCTGCACCCAGAGGTTGATCCGAAAGGACCTTGATCGGGTGTGCTTGGAAATAATGAGTTAACTTCTTTGCCGTAACGTATGCAGCATAAATGGTCTTCTCCAGCGGGGTGTATCGCAACTCCGCATTCTGTAAGGTTTTACTCACATAGTATACGGGGTTCTGAATGCCGTCTTCCTCGCGGACCAGCACGGAGCTGATCGCGCCCTGCGATACTCCTAAGTACAATATCAGCGTCTCCCCCTTCTTTGGCTTACTCAGAAGCGGCTCAGAGAGAAGATACTTCTTCAGGTCTTCGAATGCACGTTGGCACTCCTCCGTCCATGCGAATCCATTTTGCTTTTTCAAAACCTGGAAGAAAGGTAGGGACTTCTCCGCTGACTTTGACATGAAACGCCCAAGTGATGCCAGCCGCCCAGTGAGAACTTGCACTTCCTTCACCGACCTCGGAGGTTCCATGTCAAGGATTGCTCTCACTTTTTCGGGGTTCGGCTCTATCCCTCTCCGGGTGACCATGTACCCCAAAAACTTTCCGCCCTGGACAGCAAACATGCACTTTTTCGGGTTCAGGCGCAGTCGGACTGCCCTCATGATCCCGAAAATCTCGGCTAAGTCGTCGGCATGGTCAGTCGCTCGTACGCTTTTCACGATCATATCGTCTACATACGCTTCCATGTTCCTTCCTAGCACTGTTCGAAACACTTTTGCAACCATTCTCGTGTATGTCGCCCCGGAGTTCTTCAAGCCGAAAGCCATAACTAGATAGCAAAAGATCCCCTCCGGGGTGATGAACGAGGTCTTCTCCGCATCATCTTCATGCATGGATATCTGATGATACCCTCGGAATGCGTCCATGAAGCTAAGGAGTTCGCACCCGGCCGTCCCGTCTACTAGCTGATCGATGTTAGGTAGAGGAAAGGGGTCCATCGGGCATGCCCTGTTGAGGTCCGTGTAATCGACGCACATTCTCCAAGTTGGGGGCTTCGGTGCCAGGACCACATTTGCCAACCATTCCGGGTATAATACTTCCTTGATGTGTTTGATAGTCAAGAGCATGGCTACCTCCTTCTTCACGAATTCCCTTCGTTCCACCGAAAGGTGTCTCCTCTTCTGCTGGATCGGCTTCACCGTCGGGTCGACCGCTAGCTTGTGAACGGCCACACTCCGGTCCAACCCCGGCATATCTTCAGGGCCCCATGCAAAGATCACACTGAACGTGACCA